TATCTATCTATCTATCTATCTATCTATCTATCTATCTATCTATCTATCTATCTGTCTGTCTGTCTGTCTGTCTGTCTGTCTGTCTGTCTCAGTGTAGCGCTGATGACTTGAATTGGCAGAGCCCTCAGAAGTGAAAGACAGACATGAATTATTTGCCAGCGTATCCCCTCAACCGCCTCAGCCACACAAAGCAAAATAAATATGTGCTGACCTTAGTGGGTGCCATCCCTCTCAGACAAAGCATTAAGTATTGTTGACAGTTTGACGTTTAATCTGCTCAGAAGACAAATGAAAGATTAAAGGAAGTTATGGGATTGAGACGCCTCATGCATAAAGAAGGCGAAATGGCCGTGGACAAAATATGCTTTGATGCTCTTCGTGTGGTGTCACCGGTGGGAAATATGGGACCACCTCGGTCTAAATTCCCCCTGAGGTTAAGGCTGCACGTGTAATGCCTGCCTCTATTCGTCACAACCTCTTTAGCACTGAATGTCAAGCGGCCGCTCGACAAATAGCCCATCATCGAGATTCCAGAGTGGCTACAGAGCATCGCACCGCAGGTTCACAAAACTGCAATAGGTCTGATCTGTCTTGTTGTGTGCCCAGCTGTAATTTCACAATGATTAGGTGGACCGTGGCGAGGTGTGACCCAACTTTAGCGGCGACACCACTTCATCTGTAGACATAGCAACTCGATAAAGCCTCTGACAGTCATGACAGAGTTGAAGGACATCCGTAGAAGCCTTGTGAAGGAATGTCACAGTCCTACCAGGATTGACTGCAGAGAGCTGTAAGAAACAATGCGCTGTTATGCCTACCAAGCAAATAAAAATGATTTTCTAATGTAAATTCCTCTAGGAACCACGATTCCACCCCTGCTGAACACCACGTCCAACAACCTGTTCCTCACCTTTCAGACTGACATGAGCGTTTCTGGAGCTGGTTTTCACTTGGAATTTACAGGTATAATGACTGTTCACTTCTGCAGTCAGACCACAAATCACGGTTTCCTATGGAAGCTTAAAAAAAAATAATAATAATTTTATTTCACAGTTCTGATTGTTTTATTTCAATCCCGACTTTATATCTCACAATTTAGACATTTTATTTCTCCCTCTCTATTCCAAATGTTTTCTTGTAATTCTGAGAACAAATTCCAAATTGTGAAAAAAAGAAAATCGTAATTGTGAGATATTTTTATCTATTGTGAAATTATAAATAAATATGATGAAAAAGTCCAAATTAATTGCAAGACATAAACTAAAAATCTGAAGAAAAGTCAGATATAATGTGAGATTTAAACTAATAATTGCAAGAAAAAAAAATCTGAATCGCAAGAGATAAACTTGCAGAACTGGAAGCTAATTTCTTCCACAGAATTTTTTTTTTATTTGACAATTCTGACTTCAGAAATAAACTCACATTTCTGAGAAGAAAAGTCTGAATTGAGAGATAAAAACACTATATGTGAGATAAAAAGTCACAATTCAATTTTTTCTTTTCATTTCACGGCAGAAACAAGTTTTACTTTTATTGTGAGTTTATATCTCACAAGTATGACTTTTCTTATCAGAATTTCGATTTTATATCACACAATTCTGAGTTTATGTCTTGCAATTCTGATTTTTTTCCCCCTCAGGATTGTGAGATAAAATGAGAATGATTGTGAAATGATTGTGAGATAAAATGTTGCAATTGCCATTTGTATTTTATTTATTTATTTTTTATTCTGTGGCGGGGGAAAAAGCATCCATAGTTCTGTTTAAAATAAAATATTTGTATTATTATTATTATTATTATTATTATTAAGCACAATTGTATTATTACAATTGTATATTTCTCTCTTCATTTTTTTATAATTATATAAAAAATATGAATAGTAAAAACAATTGTATTATTATTAATATCACTGAAGTAATCATTATATCGCAGTTCAAATTGCAATCACAATATATACCACAATATATTTTTTGACAGCCCTAAACTGTTAATAAATAATTTAATTTAAAAAAAAAAGCAATCAAAATAAAACATATTATTTATAGTCTATATACATATAAACATAATGTGTTTTATTTGTTTTCCTGCATATCATTTGGCCATTGACCAACATCAGAGAACTGTAAACATGTGACTTAAAAACATAAAATCTCAAGGTTTACTTCAAGAAAATATTTGATGTCAAAGGGGTTCAGCTAACAAAGAAAGTTTGGGAAGCCCTGCCACAGGCGACCGCAAATGAATTGAATTTAACCTCAACATGAATCAAGCAACATTTGTTATGACTCATTTCTCTCGCGGGGCTTCTTTGCATCTCGCGGTGTAAACGCAAATCAATTTCCATTTGTGTTGGGGAACAGTCACATTCTGACAAATGAAGAGAGTTTCCTGTGTCCTAAGCAATAGGTTTGGACTCCTGCCCAGAACCTCAAACCCCCAGCAACGGTGTGAAAGTGGGCGACCGCTACTTCGTGGGTGATGTTGTCTCGTTCCACTGTGAACAAGGATACACTCTAAAGGTGGGCGATTTCATATCATAATATGGCAGTGATAGCTTAGCGCTCTCGGCTTCAAATGCTCAGAGACATTTGCACTCGTTCTAAAAAGCTTTTTGGCTGCTCATTTTGGCATTTCGCCATTGTTGCTTGTGTAATTGGCAGTGCGTTAAACAGGTAACTGACTTTCAGAACATCTTTCAGAAGAGTGACATTCAATCAAACGGTGTTTGTTCAATTACGAACACTCGTATGTCCCAGGGGTTGATTTTCAGTTTAACTTTTCTTTTTCTTTTTGAAGGATGCATTAAAATGTCTTTTTTCGTATGACTTTGTTTATTTTTGCTATGCTTTTTAAGTGTAGATGTTGTTGTTTTTACTCTTGTACAAGACCCAGACTTTTCATTTTAAAATATTCTAAATGCATCGTGGAATATCAACTGAGATTTTTTAAATTATGATAATTTAAACAATTCAGCATTTCAGTATTTTTCATGTGAAAATGATTACGATTCTCTTTTAGTTCTTTCCCTCGTTTTCCCCCAAGCTGTTATTTTTTGTCATTGGAAAGCTTGAGACACAATATGATGCATGTGATGTGTGAAAAGAAAAAAGATGCATTTGTGTTAAAAAATATTCTGTCATTTCCAGTCTGTAATTTTGTAAAATTATCCAAGAAGTGTAAAAATAGTATTTGTGTTTTTTTAGGGTGCATGTGCTTAGCATGTTTAAAATTAAGTTATGCAAAATATGTGAAAATAAATATTTAGTTGTTTATTTAGAATGCATGAAACGCTAGTGAGTCAAAATGTCATATTTTTTTTGTTGTAATTTTGTTAAAATATATATTTTTTAAAAAGTATTAAGTTTTATATATGTTTTATACTATAGCCTTAGCATGTTCAAAATGTCATTTTTGTAGCTGCTTTTCATAAAATTATGCAAAAAAAAATTATAATAATATTTAGTTGTGTGTATTTAGAATGCACGAAACAATAGCTATGAAATGAACCTTAGCATCTTCACAATGTGATTTATAACTTTCTGCAATTTTGTATAATAATGCAAAATGTGTGAAAATATATTATTTCATTGTGTGTATTTAGAATGCATAAAACGCATGCTATGTGAAATTAGCTGCAGCGTGTGTAAAATATCATTTTCACTAGAGTTCTCTTATGATGCATATATACTGTTGGACGCTAATAGATAAACTAGTGAATGTTTGTGTAAAAAAAAAAAAAAAAGAAGAAAAGTTCAGAGGTGTCCATAGTTGAAGAAGCACCAGTTCAGCGTTTAGTTTTCTGTTCTTCTGTGTGCTTTATTAGATTCATTCACAGTGCCAAGGCTTTGTTATTTTTGCTCTCATGTCGTACGTGGAAGAGCACGTTGAAAGATACATGTCCTATGAGTGATTAATCTTCCTTCGGAATTGGTGAGAGCTTCTTGGAAAAGTCAATATCTTTCTTCATTTCCACTCGTTGCAGGGAAGTGCATATATAACCTGCATGCCGGGGCCTGTCAGAAGATGGAACTACCCAGCGCCCCTCTGTCTGGGTATGTTTTATTAGCAGTCATTTCTCCCCGTTTGACCTTTTCAATGAGAGCATTACCACTGCTTTACTTCTCCGTAATCGCAATTCTTCAAATTAGTGTCTCGCAACAACCTTATGTTCCTGTTAGTTGAGGAGTTTGTGCCGTTTCATCTTATTTGATTTCAATGTAGCAGCTGTTTCATCACCAGGTGTAGAGAGATCAGCCATGGTCTGTTAGAGCTCTATTTAATCAAATGGACTATGAAAAAGCTTTCTTCAGGCTAGATATTTGAGGTCCTATTCAGTCTAATCTTCAGTCTTTTTCATTTTCTCTTTTGTTGAAATCTATTAGCCTTAAACCCTTCTTCCATGTCACATGATTTCTTGCGGCTATAACAGCATCGCTCACAAGTTTCTGACCATCTAGCTAATGCTGTTCATCCAGTCCACTAATAGCAGTGACAGACACTGCAGGACCTCAGGTTAAGTGGCTGGTGCAACAATGCAAAAGGATGCACTTTACTTCATTATAGTTATTGTGCATCTTTTACTTCATTATAGTTTACTTCTAAAAGATGTTCTCTGACATGTCTTTAAACGTATGCAAATGTAAGTATTTCTTTCATTCCAGTACCATTAAAACAAACGTAAAAAGTGACTTTAATATTGCTATACAGTACTATAAAATGTCATTATTAAAATCAAAAGTCATGTCTTTTAAAACTATGTAATGGACCCGAGCTAACATTGTCTTTTTATTAACTAATGTTAACAAAGATTAATGCATTTTGACTGATAGCTTTAACTATGACTTTGACGATTTGTATAAAAGTTGTGTTTTTAGCAAACCACTTGTAAATTATTAAAATTTTACTGTATAGGAGAGCAATCTTAAGAAGTTACAATTCACATTTTCACTGGAAATGTAATTCTAGCATTGCTCTAGGATTCTGGCAAAAGAAATTGCTCTTCCACCTGGACCCAGAAAATAAAAAAAATAATCACACATCAATACAAATTTCTGCAATTCCAGAAATTCGTTGTTTATATCATCTAAAAGTTGTTTTGCAAATATGCTGCTGAGTGGATTGTAACATGCAATTTATTTATTTATTTATTTAATTTCCTTCCATTTTCATTTGAATTTAAAAGTTAAGCTCAGTTGAGTTTAGAATGCTGAATATTTGCTATTTCTTCTGATTTGATTTCATTGTAGCAGCTGTTTCATAGCGACCATAGAATATCGAAACGTCACCTTTATAGACATTAACGATTTTGATCATCTATGTTAATGCAAATATATAGGGGTGCATGATTTGTTTGTATATGTTTTCATACTGAACCGACATTGAAATCATATCATTTATTTATTGTTTTTATTCAATTTTCATTTATTTTTAATTCTTCTTTAAATTCAGTAATTGAATTTGGATAAAAAAGTAAAGCTCAATCTAATTTAGACTCCGATTGGTGGCGTTCGGCACGGCTGTGGCTGAAGAGTGACACTTGAAGTTTAATTGATCCGAGCTCCTGCAGTATAAACAGAAGATTCAATGTTCTCTATTGACATTTCAATTGCTGTTCTAAAGTAGGGTAAATGGACACGGCGAGTCCAAGAGGACATTCATTACACGTTTGCCAATAAGAGGAATGCAAACACAACCAAGCGCACGGGGACATGTGCACACAGTAAAATCAAGGGGATATACTTACTTGCTTCAATATTGGCCTTTCAATCCCAGCGAGTTCTGGTGGTGTTCATTTAAAAAGTCATTATGAGAAAACATAACCCATGTATCATTTTCTCCCAACCTCAAAATGAACACATTTATTCCATTAGCATTTGAAAGCATTACTTATTGCATTGTTATTTATATGTACCAAGAACACAAGGCTTTCTTATATGTGCAATATCACTAGATTCCGTAATGGAGTTTGGACTTGATGAATATCTGTTTGATAATTTCTTAATGTTCCATTGAGTTTTCGTTCCCGGTGTTGCATTGTGTGAGAGATAGTACACTCTTAAAAATAAAGGTGCTTCACGATGCCATAGAAGAACTTTTTTGTCTAAATGGTTCCATAAAGAACCTTTAACATCTGAAGAACCTTTCTGTTTCACAAAAGGTTCTTTGGGGCGAAAGAAGGTTCTTCAGATTATAAAAAGGTAAGAAAGAGATGGTTCTTTAAAGAACCTTTGACTGAATGGTTCTTTGTGGAACCAAAAATGGTTATTCTATGGCATCGCTTGAAGAACCTTTTGAAGCACCTTTATTTTTAAGAGTTATACTGTACATGCCATCTTCACTGACTCTGTGCATGGCTGCTCTTGTCTTTTAAGCCGAGTGCGGAGGATTCCTGTCGGACCTGAATGGAGTCATCCTAAGTCCCGGCTTTCCTGGAAATTACCCCAGTGGGCTTGACTGCAACTGGACAGTTAAACTTCCTGTTGGCTTTGGTCTGTATCCTGTGACTTTTCAGTTGTATTTTTCTTGTGTTTCTTGAAGCTGCAAGTCATGGATTGTTTTGTTTGAACTTTATTTTGAACCTTTAAAGTTTACCTTCAGGTATCTCATTGTTGAAATGTACTATATCTCTCCTCCTATTGTTTACGATCCAGGGATTCACCTGCAATTCCTCAACTTCTCCACGGAAGCTGTGCATGACTACCTTGAAGTCCGTAGTGGGACACTAGACTCGGGCTCGGTGATCGATAGATTCAGTGGTCCTGTTATTCCAGAATCTTTCTTCAGCACGACCCACGAGACCAGCTTCTTCTTTCACAGCGACTACTCGCAGAACAAACCCGGTTTCCACATCACCTACGAGGGTAAGACGGATTAGACCTGCCCACGGCCATTACCTCCCCTGTCGATACGGACACACACCATTGCATCCCTTCTCACAATAACAGGATAGGGAATGTAACCAATTGTTCTCTTAGAGTTCAGTCAAAGCCCTTTTTTAAAGCAAGTCAGTCGATCTCAGTAACATCCACAGCAGCTATATCAAATGCAAAACTACATATTTGTAAAGTTGGCTAGTTGGTGGGCTGCCTGAACGACTGATTGGTCTTAACGAAAAGCCCTGTATAATTAGGCTGGTTTTGGGAATGTGTACAGCTGTTGCTGCGGTGCTTTAAAGAGGATACATTTAAAGACCCAGCTTTTCTGAGAGGATTTAACTCCGCAACCAGCTAAAGCACAGCATGCTAAAAAAAACAGCACTTAAAATATCAAAATGAAAAAATATACACTACCGGTCAAAGGTTTGGAATAATTAAGATTTAAAAAAAAAAATTTTTTCCAAGAAATATTATGAAATAATATTAAATATTATTACAATTTAAAATAGCTGTTTTCTATTTGAATATGTTTTCAAATGTAATTTATTTCTGTGATGAAAAGCTGAATTTTCAGCATCATTACTCCAGTCGTCAGTGTCACATGATCCTTCAGAAATCATTCTAATATGCTGATTTACTGCTCAGTTATTGTCAATTATCATCGGTGCTCAAAAATTAATAATGGTTCTTGTTATTATCAATGCTGAAAACATCGCTGCCTGATGTTTTTGTGGAAATCACGATGCATTCTTTCATTTATTTAGTTTAATCTTTTGTAACATTATAAAAGTATTTAACTTTTGATCAATTTAATGTGTCCTTGCTTTTTTAAAATCGTATTTTCCCCAAACTTTTGAATGCTAATGTATGACAGTTTCCACAAAAATGTTAAGCAGTAAAAACATATAATATTTTTTTTATATATAACAACAACTAATAACTAACAGAATTAACAATATTGCTGTTTTGCTGAATTTTGATCAATTATTGGTGAGCATAAGAGACATTATAAAAAATAAAAAGTTATTCCAAACTTTCAAATGGTAGTGTATAAAAGGAATTACTATAAACGAGTTAACATCAGTGTTTTTTAATTGAAAAGGGCAATTTTGCTGTGATTTCTCCTATTAAGTTCATAGTAGTAGTAGAGTATGTGTGAGACTCTTACGGTTTATACTGTGAGGTGATAATATTTTTTTTATATATAACAACAACTAATAACTAACAGTATTAACAATATTGCTGTTTTGCTGAATTTTGATCAATTATTGGTGAGCATAAGAGACATTATAAAAAATAAAAAGTTATTCCAAACTTTCAAATGGTAGTGTATAAAAGGAATTACTATAAACGAGTTAACATCAGTGTTTTTTAATTGAAAAGGGCAAATTTGCTGTGATTTCTCCTATTAAGTTCATAGTAGTAGTAGAGTATGTGTGAGACTCTTACGGTTTATACTGTGAGGTGAGTAAAGAATGTTTTCTAGAGGTAGCATGACTTTAAAAACCCCTAAGTATACATTTTAGTATGTAACCCATTAGTGCCATGGACATGAAATTGTGCGCCTTGCTGATGAGGAGAGGTTTGCTTTTGCTAAATGAACAGACAGTTTTCACCTGGCATCTACCCAGAAAACCCTAACAGCACATGGCAATGCCCCAAGAACCGCTCTGAAGCAACTGTACTGTGCTTTCAAATCTATTTTTATATTCCTCCCTTTGAGCCTTTCTGCTTTACACAACAGGAATATGTCAATATTTTGACTTTATGATTCCTGAACAGTGAGATGTTTCTCGTCCCTAGAGACTGAGAATTTGGGTTTTTGAAGTAAAAAATATAAGCTACAAAATAAAAAAATTTATAAAAAATAAAACATCGTCACAAAATATGTATGGCTTCTGTGACGCTCTTTTTGTTGTTGTGTGTGGTCAGACTGCTAAGTTTAGACATTTCAGTTTGGATGAATAATGTTCTCTGAATAACTTAGAATATTAAATCCAAAGTTATTTTTATGATTTCCTTATATAAAATGCATCTATTGTCTAAGCATTTGCCACATCATGGACAATAATTTTACTAAACTATTTTAGAACTTTGTTTTACATAATTTCTGAAGCAGCTTTAAGCTATAATAGAACCTTTTGAAATTCCTCCATAATCAAACATACATTTTCAGTAAAATAATTGTTTTTTTTTATTTTTATTTCGTTGCTTTTATTTTGTGAATTTGATTTACATCAGTGTGATTTTTAGTATTTTTTAATATAAGTATTCATCAATATTTTGAATTGGCTTTTATTTTTATATTTTAGTTTAGGTTTTAGTGACTTAATGTACTTTTGTCATTGTTATTAGTTGTTGAGGTGTTTTGACGGCTTTAATTTATTTCGATTTCAGGTTGAGTAATTTCAGTACTTAAACTTATTTATTTCAGTTACCCTGCAATTGCAAAGGCAACATATTTCTCATTTTCATTTATGATTTTCATCTAATATTTTAAAATATTTTATCATTTTTAAAACAGCTTGAAGCTATGGAAGAATATTTTGAATTTCATGCATTTAAAAAAAAATTACATTTTCTGTAAACTAGGTATCATAGGTATATTTAGATGCTTTAATTTTGAGATTTCTTTGACTGGTTTGACAGTGTTACTTATTTATATGCTATTATAGGATGTATACATATATTGAATTAGCATTTATTTCTGTCTTTTCATTTTTCATTTTAATTTTAGTCTACATTTACTAAATGTTTACATTTACATTTGTTTACATTTACATTTTTCATCTAATATTTTATTTTATTTCAGCATTTTTCACTATTTTTAATCGTTTTAGTTAACAGTAACAACACTGATTGGCATTGGTGTTCCTCCATGGCCTCTCACTGAATAAAACCTTCTGCTCTGTGATCACTCAGCGTATGAACTGCAGAGGTGTCCGGATCCACGGCCCTTTCGGAACGGGGTGGTGATTGCCAGTGATTTTGGAGTGGGCATGACCATCTCGTTCCAGTGCCTGCCGGGATACACGCTGCTGGGTGAAGCGTCGCTCACGTGTCTGCATGGCATCAGCCGCAACTGGAACCATCCTGTGCCTCGCTGTGAAGGTACAGAGTCCATCTTACAGAAAACCAGCTTTTAATTGAACTGTCATGTTTTGTAAATTCTATGAGATGTTCAGTGGAAAATATGGACCATATATGGAGGCTCCAAACAATGCGGGGCTTTAGCGGTGAACTTATCACTGTTATATGTCACTGCATTATTGCTTGTTGCAGCTATATATAAGACATTGCAATTCTCCACAAATTGCTGATTGCGTTTTGATTTTATTTGTCCTCTGTCAGCACTTTGTGGTGGTAATATCACAGCCCTCAATGGGACCATCTACTCTCCGGGCCACCCGGCTGACTACCCCAATCTTAAAGACTGCATATGGAGCATCCGAGTACCTCCAGGCAACGGCATCCACATCAACTTCACCGTGCTCAACACTGAGCCCATCTACGACTACATCACCATCTGGTACGAGTTCTGCAAGCGTTTTATAAGAACTCCTCACCTAAAGACTTGCATCTGCTGGGTGTCAACATGAGTGTAATGCTTACAAAATAACATTGGCTTTAGGAAAGAGACAGACCTTTCATTATTTATTTCTTTCTTTCGACTGATACCAATTATTTTTGTGTTTCAGAGACTGATAATCGTCATGCATAAACTATTTTAATCAAATTCATAATTGTTTTTCTTGATAGTTAGATATCACACAACAATGAAAATAATTTTGAAACCATTAGACTGAAAAACAAAAACTGCACAATTGCCATATTAATTTGTTTGATATGTATTTATTAATTTATTTTTAATGCTGACTTTTTTCTAAAGTTTTAGATATAATATTTATATTATTTATATGAAAATCAGTTAAATTGATTTTCTGCCTATGTCTAGTTTTGGATTTATCAAAATGATTTGTCAAGCACTCCACCAGAGATGCTGCTAAGCTGAGACTTACGTAACACTTTATTTTAGTCTTTTATCTGTTTAGTTTCACACAGTTCTCTTGTGCTTTTCCATCTTCCATATATTTCCTCCTTGACTGAACATTAATGCTGAAGTGTCAAGCGGCTGGTGCGGTAGACGCTTGTGTTCACCACAACAGAAGCTATTTCTCGCTGCATCGCACACTAAATTAGACTTTATTATATAAAACTGTTTTCCTAATCAATATGCTATTACAGATTTTGAAAGTGAAGTGACATGTGGCCAAGTATGGTGACCCATACTTGGAATTAGTGCCCTGCATTTAACCCATCCAAAGCGCACACACACAGCAGTGAACACACACACACCGTGAACACACACCCGGAGCAGTGGGCAGCCATTTTTGCTGTGGCGCCCGGGGAGCAGTTGGGGGCTCAGTGCCTTGCTCAAGGGCACCTCAATCGTCGTATTGAAGGTGGGAGAGAGCGCTGTACATTCACTCCCCCCACCTACAATCCCGAGACTCGAACCCGCAACCTTTGGGTTACGAGTCCGACTCTCTAAGCATTAGGGCACGACTTCCCTTCTTGAACTGACTGAGAACCAAGGTCATTTTGAGTGCTATGCATTGACTGTATAAGGCACTATTCAGGCTGTTTATTCAGGGTTTTGAAGCACGACTGACACACACTGCAGAGAAGAGACGTCTGCTCTTCTGTTTTCATAAACATTCTTTATAAGATCCCTGACACGCACCCGCCAGACGTGGGAGAGCGACTTATGGAGAGTGGACGAGTTTTATATCAGCAGACAGAAGTAGTCAATAAAGGTTTTTAATGTTTCATATCTGGGTTTGAACAGATCTGTTGTCTCCCTTAGGGACGGCCTTGACCAAACATCCCCACAGATCGGTCAATTCAGCGGCAGCTTGCCTCAGGAGGCCGTTTCCAGCACGTCCAATCACATCCAACTGAAGTTCCACAGCGACTTCAGCACCAGCGGATTCTTTGTTCTGCGTTACCATGGTGAGCCGAATCGTCCACAGTTTTCCTTCCTCATTCACGACAGCTTAGTTTGCTTATAGTTGTTTATTGTCAGCTCGATTATCCTGGCTTATTCCCTCACGCCCACAGAATATGTTAGTTATGCCGTATGCATGCTGAGACGAGCCGTGAACATACATACATTCAACCCAAACTGTGGCATGAAATTGCATTAGGAACCTTCTGGTTTGCATGCCTTCGAACACCTGTTTAGCGTGTCACGTTGCTGCTTTCTGGCCCCTTGTTTTTTTTTATTTTACTGCTCTCAAACACAAGGGCTAGAAATTGTATTGTTTCTTCTGGAAAATGGCTTTGATTATTGCAGCTGCCACATTCCGATGGCGCTATAATGTGTTTGGAAACTTCCATCATCCATAATTACATTCATTTCTGAATGAGCAGGTGTGGGAACACATTCATTTGGCTTCTAAGGCAGCATCCTTGCTGTTATGGAACCTCATAAGTGATTATTTGATATGCTCTACAACATAGTGTGCAGCATTCAAACAGATGCACTCTTCGTATGGAGACTCAAAAACTGATTTGTATTTAGCATGTGGCTATGCTAGCAACACAATACTCAAACATAACATGCATAGATTTTATTTAGAAATGGCTTCAATTCTGTCAATGCTTTTTGATTTTGATTTGAAATTCAAGTTTGTTTTTGATGCAGATATCTCCTGGATCGTCCACAATATTTATTTCACTGAGCGTATTGCATTTATGAAATAGCATTGCTGCTTTAGTTGCAATAATCTTTGTGTATGATGCTTTGTAATTCTATCAATGTAGGCGAATCACTAGGTTATGGAAGAATTTTAACAGGGGAAATAACACCTGAACACGACAGATGACCTTTGAACCCCATTGGTTTTCTCTAATCTATTTTGCAATTGTGATGGGAGACCGTTATTCACTAAAGGACGTTAACATCTGCGTTAGCATATTTTCTGCTGATGCTTTTGAAGTTCACCAATAAACTAATAGAGCATAAGGAAGTTATGTCAAGTGCTGCAAAGCTCAAAGCTGATTAGAATTTTAAAAGATAATAAAATAAGATAGCTGTGGTCCCAGAGCTGCCAAAATACCCATTCTCTGGTTTGAAATTGCCTTTAATGTGTTAGCGTAGTAACAGCGGAGTTTTTCAGTGTTCAGAGTGTTTCTGAGTGTTCCTGTTTGCTCCCAATGATGAATTCTAAATTAAATGTGTTTTTGTTTGTCAGTGGCGACGTCAAACAACATATAAAGGTCATTTAGCAGTTTGGTAGCTGGTAAATCTTAATGATGTTAAGATACTGAGAGCATTTGCTGGATCTTACCTAAAAAAAGGTGCTTAAACTCATTTGCATGAATCCTTAACTCTATTATCTTCTTTGCATTTGTTCATTGTGTCGGCAGTTTGCGTAAACAAGCACCACTTCTTTTCCTCAGAAAATGTATTAAATAAACGTTCTGCTATTTTTCTAATGATTTATATGTAAGATTTACCATTAATCATTACAGAAAATTATTAGCAGCTTAAATTGATACATGTAAAATGAATAATTTAATATTACACTAAAATTCATTTATATTATTATTATTATTATTTTATTTTTTATCAACCCTTAACCAGGACTGTAAATCCATGTATTAATCTTCATATTATATTAATCTTTATAATCTTCGTATTCATTCATTGTGTTGGCAGGTTGCATAAACAAGCATCCCTTTTTTTTTTTCTTAAGAAAATGTAAAAAAAATAAATAAATCTGACATTTTCCTTGAATTTTCCAATTGTATTTACCATTAATAATTACAGCAAATTATTACATTTATTAGCAAATGATTTAAAATTATTACATTTAAAATAAATAATGTTAATATTAAAAAAGCAAAAACCCATTTTTATTATTATTATTATTATTATTATTATTAAACCCCTTAACCAGCATCTTAAAGCTATGTATTAATCTTCATCGTGCAAAAATATATTTTCCATGCTGGCATTTTGCTAATCATTTTTATATATAATATTTACCATTATAATTCCAGAGAAGTATTACATTTTATTAGAAAATTATTACATTTAATATGAATAATTTTAATATTCAAGTACTATAGCAAAACTTATTTTTAAGTTTTAAGTCAAATCTCATTTTGTTGTTTATTTTTAATAAGTCAAATCTCATTTTGCATGTGCATGAAAATAAATGAATTGGCCACTGAATTTGAAAAGTGTTTCCTTATGTGCATTGCCACACAACAAGCTAAACTAATCTTAACATTAGTGAATTATGTGTCTTATTGAGGGCATACAACATGTTCTGCTCAACATAATATGTCTTCAAATGATGTTGCATCACAATAGTGACTGTTATCATATCATACAGTAATAGGAGGTTGTTAATGTATATGATCCTCTTTTAGAAACTCTTGCGATTAGACATTGTTATAATCATAAGGCATAATCATTGTTGACGAGGCAGATGCTATGACCCTTGATTGTGATTCATACTTTGCAGCGGCGGCGCGTAATTTTGTTGTACGTTTAGAAAAACTCCGGTGACAGATGTGATGAATTTAACATGTCATTGTGTGGGTTGTTTTTAAAGCGTTATCACTTAACCAGCAGCTAAACATCACGTTTCTCACTCATCTCGTTCCCTCTCGCAGCTTACCAACTTCGTGTCTGTCAACCTCCCCCACATGTCGCCAACGCAGAGATCCTGGCTGAAGATGATGAATTTGAAATTGGTAAGCCTGAAGAACGTTTGATGATCATCTGTTTGCTTAAATTTATCATGCATCGAACCCTCATTAAAGAGATGCTCCCAATGTGCCCACCTTCGCAATGCAGCGTTTCTTATTTAATGTGAAAGAAAATGCCCCTTTCTGATGGGAAAATAACACCCGACACTCTGCATTTGTCATCATTACTGTCAAAAGCGTGTAAGCGGTCAGGTCTTAATTAGCTAATGTGTTGTTGAGCGCTAGTTGTAGTGGAAAAGCAAAGATCTGGGTGTGTAATTACTCAACAGGAGACATCATCAGGTACCGCTGCCTGCCGGGCTTCACGCTGCTCGGGAGCGAGATCTTGACCTGCAGGTTGGGTGAGCGACTGCAGATGGATGGTCCTCCTCCGGTCTGCCAAGGTTAGTTTGGCAGCACATCCAGCACTCTGTCTCATTTGTGTCCGTGCTCTTCCTGTTTTTATGTCTCACGTCGTTAGTTGTTAGGCTCTTTTGGACTTCCGGATGAAGAAAACCACAGTACAGCGTTGTGAATCATTGTGTTTAAAACTTAATAACAAACAGCATGATTCTTGATGTCTTGAAGTAACTCTCACAACTGTGAGTGCCTAAAGATATGCCTGCTCACATTTATATAACGATTATGTGCCATTCAGAACTTCCATACAGAAGTTCCTGATTACGAATTGAGGCAGGGTGCAGACTTGAAATTTGAATGTTAAAATATATTGAGATACACTGTTCAAATGCATTGATGTTATTAACTAAAAGACAAAAAATACTGTATAATGGTTTCCATTCTGCCATTTTTTATTAGTTTCTGTCATTAATAACTGCAGCTAATTATTATTTATTAGCAAATTACTTAATCATTATTTAAAATTAATCATTTTTATTTTATAGCGAAAATTTAATTGGAGTAGCGAACAGGATGCAGACTTGCAGTTCAATTTTGAATAGCAAAATACATTGAAATGATTGAAATCCAAATGCATTGATGTAATTTTTAACTAGAACGAAAAAAGGTTTAAAAAGTTCCATTCTTCCCTGTTTCTAATATTTTATATAAGTGTGTACCATCATTTTACAGCAAATGATTACTGTTTTTAGCAAATTAACTACATTATTGCATTTATTACAGCTGAAATTCATTGAAATACATTGACATTTGAATGCATTGTGCTTTTCTAATAGAAATACTGTATCAAATATAATTTCCATTCTTCTAATATTTCTAATATTTCATATTAGTATTTACCATTAATAATTAAAGCATTTGAGCTTACATTTAGAATGAAAGATTTTAATATTACAGCAGAATATGAATCGAGGTAGCAAACAGTGTTGCAGACTTGCAATTGAATGTTACAATACATTGATATTCAAATGCATTGTGATCGTTTTTAACTAGAAGGACAAAGTCTTGACAAATTTCAAAATACTTTTAAAGTCTATTTTTATAAGTAGAAACACTTAGTCTTTATATATTTAATCATATTTAATAAATTACCAGGGTGAATGAACTGCCAGTTTTGTTCAGAATGCATCGCCTTTGTTGAATTTCTTCGAATTACAATTCAGTAAATTCCTCTTCCTGTCGTAATTCCTAATTTAAATTCTAATTTAGCTTCCTGTGACCAATTCAAGTCAAATTTGCACTCTACAGAGTAGTGACATTTTATTTTGTATTCTTTACCAGCTTTGTATTTCAGTGGCGTTAAGTAGCTCTGCACATTGGTTCAAAAATGCACTCAACATAACTGTTTATTAAGTCATGTCACATCTTACTTTTAGTGAGAATAGGCAAATGTCACTGCAAATTACAGGAAACTTGTCACTTCTCATCGTGTTGGGTAAAAGTAAATTATGAGGTGAGAAACCTTGATTATAAGGTTGACATGATAAGTGCTCTTCAGGGCGAGCATAGAACATGGTGACAATGTCATGCAATCAGTTTATTCTATATGGGTTGGTTTGTTTTCAGATGGTGTTTTTGCCAACAAAAAAATGCCTACCTGCAACTCAGAAACATTCTTATACATACAATTTCTATTCCTTTTCACACAAATTATGATTACAAGGCCAGACTATTGATACATTTCCTTGCACAATACTATGTTAGGACCTCAAAAACACATTTGCAATAATGCATGATTTGTAAACTATTACATTTTATGTTTGCATCACATAACCAGCTCCATATGTGACTTTTCTGATGTTGTAAGCTTGCTCGGTAGCGCACCTGGTACAAGACTTGTGAAACACAATAAAAAAGCTCATAGACATGTAGAAGCATATGAAAATGTCACGGTTGTTTAAGATTCATGTTTGCTAACGCTATTGATTAGGCTTAGGGCTGGATTTAGTGTAGGTGGTACATTATTGTCAAACATGATAGAGCATTGATCTTTTAGTGCCACTTGCTGTGCAATTCATTTCCAAATTGGTGCGATATATGCAACGGACAATGTATTTAAAAGTTGCCAGTTTAACCTTCTTCTTTTTCTGATAAAACGAAACAGTTTTAGTGCTGCTCAATGGACGTTCCACTTTGAAAGTGTCACGAAACATGCAAGAAGCAAAATGCTGTGATATAAATTTGCAGAAATGTCACCACAGACACATTTTTCCATTGAGCCTGGGTTGGTTTTAGCACTATTTAACACATGGTCATTTGGTTTCTTCTTAGTGCAATGTCCTGACAATGAGGTTCTGTTCGACTCGACGGGCATGATCCTGAGTCCAGGTTACCCTGACAGCTACCCCAACCTTCAGATGTGCTCCTGGATGATCAACGTGGAGAAGGGCTACAACATCACACTGCACTTTGAACTCTTCCAGACGGAGAACGAGTTTGATATTCTGGAGATCTTTGATGGTGGGTTTGAATTATTCCTCATATTCAGGCATCATCTGACAGCTCGTGCAACTGTGTCCCTGAATATTACAGTCATTATTCTCTGGCCTGTCCTAACTCTGACGCTTTTCTTGAAAATTTGGAGCCTCGGGAATATGTTTGAGAAATAACAGAGCTCCTTTTTTAGACCCATGACCATTACGAGAGAAATATTTTATTACCCTCCCCCCCAAAAAAAAACTAATTTAGGAACAGCAGACATGCAAAACGCTAGAAAGATTCAAGTATTTCTTGATAGCGAGGCAATGGCAAAGACAATTCGAAATACATTCTGAGTGTTATTAGCGCTAATTACTTAAGTGCTTGCAATCAGCAAATTACCCTATTACTCATCAATGATTGGATGCTCATTAATGCCCATGACATTTGCAGAGCCCCAGTGGAATAGGAAGTGAGAAGCAATACCAATTTCCTTCTCTCAGGCCAGATTTTGTGTTAATGTTTTGCAGCAAAGCAAATTTTGGAGCTCTTTCCCCAGAGTCTCAAACTAAATCGGCTAAATGCCATCGGATGGACATTTATTACAGTCATTATTCTCTGGCCTGTCCTAACTCTGACGCTTTTCTTGAAAATGTGGAGCCTCGGGAATATGTTTGAGAAATAACAGAGCTGCTTTTTTAGACCCATGACCATTACGAGAGAAATATTTTATTACCCTCCCCCCCAAAAAAAAACTCATTTAGGAACAGCAGACATGCAAAACGCTAGAAAGATTCAAGTATTTCTTGATAGCGAGGCAATGGCAAAGACAATTCGAAATACATTCTGAGTGTTATTAGCGCTAATTACTTAAGTGCTTGCAATCAGCAAATTACCCTATTACTCATCAATGATTGGATGCTCATTAATGCCCATGACATTTGCAGAGCCCCAGTGGAATAGGAAGTGAGAAGCAATACCAATTTCCTTCTCTCAGGCCAGATTTTGTGTTAATGTTTTGCAGCAAAGCAATTTTTGGAGCTCTTTCCCCAGTGTCTAAAACTAAATCGGCTGAATTCCATCGGATGGACATTTCCACTTGATGAATTTATTCTGAGAAATCTTCTTTGCTCATTGCCACATATGGAAACTTCTTGTTAAAGGAATAGTTCACCCCAAAATGAAAACTTGCTAAAAATGTACTCCCTCATCCAAGGTGTTGATGATGAGTTTGTTTCTTCATTGTAACAGATTTGGAGAAATTTGCCATTACACCACTTGCTCTGCAGTGAATGGGTGCCGTCAGTATGAGAGTCCAAACAGCTGATAAAAACATCACAGTAATCCAGAAGTAATCCACACCACTCCAGTCCATCAGTTAACAACTTGTGAATTGAAAAACTGTGTGCTTGGCATTTTAACTTCAAACCGTTGCTTCGGGTAAAATACGAGTCCATAATATTGCTTTCTCCAGTGAAAAAAAGTCTTGTCATCTCGTCTGAATCACGAGAGAAATATGCACAGATCAAGCACAGTGCATAAACAGTTCCAAAAACAGTTCTAATCAAATATGTGGGTGGATTTTAATGTGAGTGGTCAACAGAGGATGGACTTTTTCACTGGTGGAAGTGTTATTATGGATTATGGACTGGTATTTTGGCCAGAAGCGAAAGTTTAAAGTTAAAATGCCCTAATGATGATTTTTTTTTTAAAAATAAAAATTTAAAACACCGCTTTTTTCACTTCACAAGATGTTAATTGGTGGACTGGAGGGGTGTGGATTATTGTGATGTTTTTATCAGCTGTTTGGACTCTCATTCTGACGGCACCCATTCACTGCATGAGAAAGTGTTGTAATGCTAAATTTCTCAAATTCCATTCAAAATAAGAAACTAACTTGTCTACATTTTGGATGGCCTGAAGGTGAGTCAATTTTCAGCAAATTTTCATTTTTTTATGAACTGTTCCTTCAATTTTGAAAATGTTGCATTGATTCTGTCAGAATGTCAAAATCGAACCATCAGCGACGATGACATCATTGAATTCCGAATTGCATTCCGTCTCTTGAATAAGCAGTTTGCAAACTTCTTCAAACTGTCCTTGTACATAACTTTAAGAACATTTCTTTGCTGCTTTATTTACATTGGAAATGCCAAACTGTTTTTAATTTGTTTTATTTTTTGAAGGGCCCAATATTTACAGTCACAGTCTGGCTGTGTTGAGCGGAGATCTCAGCGTGCCCTTCAACATCACCACCACCGGTCACCAGCTGTTTCTCCGCTGGTCATCTGATCATGGCACCAACAAAAAGGGCTTTCGTATCACTTACGTGGGTGAGTATCAAAGTATGTATCCCCGATTGTTAATTCCTTTCAGTTCTATGTGTCTCTCGTGACCTTTTGTCTGTCATGTCCATGACAACTTCGTCCAAGTCCATGTCCCATCTGTCCATGTGTTTGTGTCCAAATGTTTGTGTAACATACAATTCAGGAAATGTAATAGAAGTTGCTTTAAAAAACAATATAGGCCTTGAACACAAAACTTAAAGAGTTAGAGAATAATTATGGTAGGAAAAATTATCCAACTATTTTGACAAGGATAAAAGAAGTTCAATCAGAGCTTAATAGAATATATAATGAGCAAGTACAACTAAAACTGAAATTCATAAAGCAGAGATTTTATGAAAACGGTCCGAAAGCAAAAAAGCTTATGGCTTGGAGAATAAGGAAGCAGCAGGCAGAGAGGAGTATATTTAAAATTAGAGATCCCAGAACTAAAAAGATATGTCATAAATTGGAAGAAATACAACAGGCTTTTGAAAAGTACTATAAGGAATTATATACGCAGAAAAATTATATTCACTCCACAAGAATACAAGAATTTCTGCACACATTGGATTTACCATCAATTGGATCAATGCAAAACAAAATATTAACTCAAAATATAACAATAGAAGAAATAAGTAAGGCTATATCAAAGCTTAAAACAAATAAAGTACCAGGAATGGATGGTTTTTCTGCTGGTGACCCCCCTAGATCCTGGAAAGAGGCTGTAATATCTGTAATTCTAAAAGAAGGAAAAGATCCGATAGAATGTAATTCGTATAGACCTATTTCAGTCCTAAATATTGATTACAGACTTTATACATATATACTGGCTAAACGATTAGAACATATTCTTCCAGATTTAATAGATACAGATCAAACAGGTTTCATAAAACAAAGACAGACATATGATAACATATGGCGAGCCCTACACATAATTGATTATATATTTCAGAATAAAACTTCTACCCTTCTAATTAGTCTAGATGCAGAAAAAGCGTTTGACTCAGTGAGTTGGGACTTTCTATACTCAGTTTTGTTACGTTTTGGATTTGAAAATGACACTATTAGAATATTTAAATCTTTATATTCAAACCCAATAGCAAGAATTAAAATTAATGGTGACATTTCGGAACATATTATTTTAGAAAGGGGATGTCGACAAGGGTGCCCGTTAAGCCCTACCCTGTTTGCGTTATTTATCGAACCACTGGCACAGCTACTCAGAGACGATATAGAAATAAGAGGAGTGGTAGTTAAAGATATAGAACACAAGATTTGTTTATACGCTGATGATGTATTACTGTTTCTTACATACCCAGAACTTAGCTTACCCAAAGTGATGTACTCTCTTGAAAAAATTGGATTATACTAAACTAAATATACATAAAACCCAGACTCTCTTGTGTAATTATAATCCAAGTAATAAAATACGTAATGAATACACATTTAAATGGAATACATCCTCCATCAGATATCTTGGAGTTCAAATTCCTGCAGACCTATCAAACATCTATAAAGTTAACTATTGTCCCATTACAGAAATCATAAAAATGGACTTGAACAGATGGCTTCTCCTACCTTTAGATCTATACAACCGAATAGAGATAATAAAGATGAATATATTGCCACGATTACTTTTTCTTTTTCAAGCTTTACCAATAGAAATACCAAAAAGGCAATTTGATGAATGGAAAAAACTAATATCACGCTTCATTTGGAAGAGTGGGCGGCCAAGAGTGCGATTTAACACTCTACAACTTCCTAAGGATAAGGGTGGGAGAGGTCTGCCATCATTAGACGGTTACTATAAGGCAGCACAGCTAAGACACTTGGCTTGCTGGTGTAACGATGAATATAGTGCAAAGTGGAAGGACTTTGAACAGTCACAACTTGAATTACCCCTTCAAGCGTTACTAGGAGATAGAAACTTGCAGCAGACACAGTCACATAAATTGAACCGTTGGACAAAGATTCCATTGGAAATTTGGTATAAAGAATTAAGGAATCCTAAAATTGAAAGACAAGGAAGGATACTAAGATGGGTGGAACATGACTTACAGTTTAAACCAGCAAGACTGGATCTAAGGTTTAAGCAATGGAGTTTACAAGGTATAACATCCTTCTGCCTTATTTCTACCGAGAGTGGGCTAGAGAGTTTCCAACAACTTAGATAAACAATACTTTTTCCGTTATCTTCAAGTTAGACATTATTTTAAGAAGAATATAAGAGATTCAGAAGATATAGGATCAACGATAGTTCAGATATTTGTATATAAAAAATAAAAAAAAACAATATAGGCCTATAATTCTGAAGAATGTAATTAAATCATTAAACAAATTTTACAGTGCACTTGAGAAATATGTATGTTAGACCTCACATGTCAGGCCTGTTTCACACATCCTGCTTAATTAGCAGCATGTAAGGAAAACAGCAAACAGAGGTGTGCGTTGAACTCCCACACCAGCCAGTTTCAAGCCACATCTTTTATGCAAATTCTCGGGCAATGCATAAATAACATGATAGATGTGCATAAGTCTAACAAGTCTAACCTGGTTTCAGTCAAACTTGAGTTTAATAGAAAGTGCTGATAATAACCACAATGCATTACAACATATCAGTATTTCCTTAAAAATAGTATTTCAGTTGCAATTAAAAACTCTAAATTTCATACTTTAAATTCAATATACAGTACATAGATGAGGAGGAGCACTGCTCAAATCATAGTTTCAGTCAGACCTGAATTGAGTAGAAAGTGTTGTTTTGTGCCTGTCGCTGCGTGTTGGTTGTGCATGTGTTTTCAAACATTGGTAAGTAGTTCACTCCATTATTTTACTTTATTGCTGAAGATGTAATGAAATGACTCTGTGACGCTTACGTGCTGCAGACACAAGATGTGTAAAAGAAGTCATATGCTGCTTTCAGATCCTCCTGGGAAACATTCAGAAGTTGTAATTATGATGTGAAAGAATAAAATACAGTAGATGCATTGTGCAATTTTATATTCATTTTTTACTGACAGACACGGGGTGTTTTTTTAGTGCTAAAGCAACAAAAGGAAAAGGATGCACATTTGTGCACTTGATATTTATGCATTCTCATGACAACACAGAGAATGATAGGAAATGTATTTTTGTTGCACATGCCTTTCAGCTCATAATCTGTATAACATACCTTGATACTTTAATTTACACTCCACCAATGTGAAAAAAAATCTGGGCTCAACGTTTCCCACTGGTGGTAATTAACTTGTAAATATGATAATTGCAACAAGACTTAAAGGCACAATTAGAGTAGAAATATTTAGTAACGCTTTATTGTTAATATAATTTATTATATAATATGTAATTAATATAAATATTGATTACAATGTTTTACGCTGGTAATTCTTAACTTGTAAATATGATTATTGCAACAAGGCTTGAAGGCACAGTTAGATTAGAAATATTTAGTAACACTTTATTGTTAATATAATTATTTTTTTTATATTATATGTAATTAATATATATTAAATAATACTTGTATATTATATAATGTCAAAGTATTATTATTGTTGTTAATTTGTAAAATGAACACGCATTAAATTATGTACTGTTAACAGATAATGTACACTGAAATAGTTTAAAATGTCATGATTATGCAATAATGGGTTTAATGATTATTGTAAAGTGTTGCCAATTATTTATCTGTGATAATGATGATGTGTTGAGTCAATATTGTGTGAGTGCTTAATGATCCGTTCTATCATCTGTAGCGATGTACTGCAGCACCCCAGACTCTCCGCAGCACGGTTTCGTGGTCAGCCAGACGGGCGGCCACGTCAACAGCGTCGTCCGCTGGGCCTGTGACCGCGGCTACAGGCTCATTGGGAAAAATATGGCCGTCTGCAAGAGAACTGAGTTCGGTTATCTGGCCTGGGACTCATCTTTGCCAGCATGTCAAGGTGTTGTCTTTGTTATTATTTTCTTGAGTTTACAAAAATTGCATTTCCTTGAGTTGACCGTGAAGGCTAATTTAACTGACAATAACTTGTGCTCAAGTATTGTTTGATTTAACCTTCACTGGCAAAACTCACAGCTCTGTATTGTACTTTTAACATTTTTGTGCTTCATCGAGGACATTCATTATGTCATATATATATATATATTATTATATATATATATATATATGTGTGTGTGACCCTGAACCACAAAACCAGTCTTAAGTTGTACAGGTATATTTGTAGCAATAGCCAAAAATACATTGTATGGGTCAAAATTATCGATTTTTCTTTTATGCCAAAAATCATTAGGATATTAAGTAAAGATCATGTTCCATGAAGATATTTTGTAAATTTCCTACCATAAATATATCAAAACTTTATTTTTGATTAGTAATATGCATTGCTAAGAACTTAATTTCAACAACTTTATAAGCAATTTTCTCAATATTTTTATATTTTTTGCACCCTCAGATTCCAGATTTCCAAATAGTTGTATCTCGGCCAAATATTGTCCTATCCTAACAAACCATACATCAGTGGAAAGCTTATTTATTCAGCTCAATTTCGAAAATTTTACACTTAGGACTGGTTTTGTGGTCCAGGGTCACACACACACACACACACACACTATATATTAAATTGTTGCTTTATTTTCATATAACAAATAGTGGAACAACATAATTTCTGTCAGGGAAAAAAGCCCAGAGGGGCATGTTCAATTACCTTCACTCAAATCAAAAATAAATCACCACTCGAAAATGAGAGCAAAAAAGAGCATGAAAAAAAGAGCAAAACAAAATAATAAAGGGTGAATGGGCTACTGAGAAAGGATATGAATTTTGAGCAGATTTTAACACTATGAAAAAGTGAAGGAGCAGACGGATCAAGATAGCAGGACCTCATTGTGTTATAATTCTGGAAACAGTCCAGGAGGAGAATCTGCTGAAGGAAGAAAATAAATTGATATATTTGAAGGCCATTTTTTAAGGTTTTGAATTTGTAGTTTCTGAAACAGTGGGCTGGTGCTTGCTAGATAAGAGAGGTGATCATACAATATAAAACTCAATATAATAAGTATAAATTAAAAAAGGCACCCAAAAATGTAATGACAAACATGAGTAAATAACATACATTTCTATTCTGGGTGAACTATTTCTCAAAGTTTTGTATGTTTCATATAAAGATCCTGATGATCCGACGATAGCTGCTCGCATCTCAGCATGTCTAACAGACATTTCTTGTTGGATGAAGGACCATCACCTTCAACTCAACCTGGCTAAGACAGAACTGCTTGTGGTTTCAACAAACCCATCACTTTATCAAACTTTCAGCATCCAGTTAGGCTCAACAACCATAACTCCTTCAAAAACAGCTAGAAACCTTGGAGTTGTGATTGATGATAAGCTGAATTTCTCAGACCACATTGCTAAAACTGCCCGGTCCTGCAGATTTGCTTTATACAACATTAGGAAGATCAGGCCCTTTCTTTCAGAACATGCAACACAACTCCTTGTTCAAGCTCTTGTTCTATCCAGGCTGGACTATTGCAATGCTCTCTTGGCAGGTCTTCCAGCCACTTCTATCAAACCTCTACAATTAATCCAAAATGCCGCTGCAAGATTAATCTTTAATGAGCCGAAAAGAACGCATGTCACGCCTCTGTTCATAAATTTGCACTGGCTACCAGTAGCTGCTCACATAAAATTCAAGGCATTAATGTTTGCCTACAAAACCACCACTGGCTCTACACCCCTTTACCTAAATTAATTACTTCAGAGTTATGTGCCCTCTAGAAGCTTGCGTTCTGCAAGTGAACGGCGTATTATTGTGCCATTTCAAAGAGGCACAAAATCACTTTCACTGACTTTTTCATTAACTGTTCCCTCCTGGTGGAATGACCTGCCCAACTCAATCCCAGCAGCTGAGTCCTTAACCATCTTCAAGAAACGACTAAAAACACATCTGTTCCATCTTTATTTGACCCTCTAACTCTAACACTTTCTATTCTATTTTAATTCTACTTTATATATTTTTTTTTTAAACAACAAAAAACAAAAACACTAGCTTTCTATTTTTTCTATTCTATCTACTTGTTTTTCTTTGTGTGTGTGTGTGTGTGTGTATATATATGTGTGTGTGTGTATTATATATCTACACCTTGCTACGTGCACTGCGTTAGGCTAACCGAGACTTATGATTTGCACTTATATATTGTTGATCTTTTGTTAGTTTTGACTGCTTTTATTGTCCTCATTTGTAAGTCGCTTTGGATAAAAGCGTCTGCTAAATGACTAAATGTAAATGTTTAGGTAATTAATTAATCTGAAGACACCAATATTCTCAGCTATTTTTGTTTCTGTTGACATTCATTAGCTAGTATCAAGAAAGCAACTGCATTACTAGAATATTTGATATGATTCTTTCCAGATGTGGCGTTTTGTGTTGATTTGGAATGTTATTGAGATTGAATTGCTGCAAAGACAGACCGTGTCAGATGCCAGCATCACTGATCAATCGTCTCTTTGTTTCCGGCTAATTAATACGGCCGAATGAATGAAGGAATACGAGCGCTGTTGTTTTGTTGAATATATTTGATTCGAATTTTAGCACTCAGTAATTGGACAACCTATTATGTTGCATCGCTGTATTGATTTTGCTTTGAGCAAACTCCAGCACCTTTTCCATTTCTTTAACTGCACATTTTTGCCATGCTGGCTAATTACAGCTCTGTTTGCTCACACATGACCATGTTTAGACCTTCCATTCACTGTGTGGACTTGATGAGGTCAAATGCGGTGGAGTGTCATTCCTGCTTTGCTAACTTTTAAAATGAATGTGTTGGTGTTTCAATGTAAGAAATAATTAATAAAAACACTTAACAGGCATTTTATGAAATGTTGGTAATAAACAGTTTTCTGTGATTTTATCAAACAGGATGGATGTTTTAGAGTGACATAAACCCACTAACATCACTGCAAAACATCACATAATTCGACAAATCCTCTGCTAATATTTACTGTACTAATGTTTGTTTTCTCTCCAAAATGATGCCACTTCCTGTAATTAAGAAACTGGATTCGACTAATTTCAGGGATTGTATGACAGACTGCCAGATCTTAAGACTTAAGACAGCTGGTTGACTAGTTGTTTAGACGATCCACTTACTAGTTTTGACAATAGGTTGTTTTGCACATCCTGGTCTCTGTAGGGAAAGTGCTAATTCAAAGTTCACTCAGCGGTAACTGAATCGATGGCAATGACCTCACCTGCTCTCATCTGCTGGAAAACTAGCCACATAGGTGTGTGTGCGTCAGTGCTTTGGTCCAATTATTTTTGAGACTGGCTTTTGTGGATAGGTTAACGAGGAAGCTGATATTAATGAACTGCCATTGTAAAGGGAAGTATCTGTATTGGAGTTTCTTGGATGGACATTTCTTAACCCTTGTGCTGCGCTGAAAATCCGTCACCTAATTTGGTGTTCCTGGTAAAAAAAAAAAAAAGATCTGCCTTTTAAAAAATTCTGGTTAATTTAGTAGGTAGCACTTTACAATAAGGTTCCATTAGTTAATGTTAGTTAATGTTTGTATGAACAAACAGTGGATTCACTTTATATTAAGTGGCCTTAACAACTATGTACTTACATTTAAATTAATAATTTGGTACAATGCACTTATTGTGTACATACATGTTTTTACATTGTACTTATATTTTTTAAATACCTGCATGTAATTACATCTGTAATTAATTTCTGTAATTACATTTATAATTACAATGTTGACCCATCCCTTACAACTTACCCCACCCTTAAACCCACCCATACCACCAAACCTGTCCCTAACCTTACCCGTATCCCACCTCAATAGCAGCAAAAGTGTTTTGCAATACAATATGTACACAGTAGGTACATTGTACTTATTTTTTGATGTAAGTACATAGTTGTTAAGGCCACTTAATATAAAGTGGGGCCCAAACAATGAACAATATATTTATTACAGTATTTATTAATCTTAGTTAATGTTAGGTAATTAAAATACAGTTGTTCACTGTTAATTCATGTTAATTGACAGTGCATTAACTAATGTTAACAAGCCCAACTTTTGATTTTAGTTATGCATTAGTAAATGTTGGAATTAACATTAACTAAGATTAATAAATGCTAGAAGTATTGTTCATTCTTAGTTCATGTTAGCTAAAGTAGTTCACTAATGTTAACTAATGAACCGTTTTGTTAAGTGTTACCATTTCATACTATGCTTTATTATTACGAAATCTTGGATTTAATCTTTTTATCAACTTTTTTTTTGGACGATGCATTATTTGTGGATAATTTTGTCAATGTTAACTCAAAAACTGAGGTACATTTAGTCAGATCAAGTCAAGCTCTTTCTGATTCTAATATGCGTGTGTGTATATATAGTAATTTGGAGTGGACAGATTTGAAGAAGGATTGGACAAAGTTTGGGAAATAATTCTTAATGTATTCACTGCCCTTCAGAGATCTGTTCTTCAGATTTCTAGTAAATTGTATTATATAATTATTGGGGGAAATAACAGGTTATTATGCATTCACATTATTTGCATTTGCAGCTTCACCGTCTTTGTTTTCTCTTTAAATCCATTCTTTGGATTTCGTTTATCCGTGAGGCATGTAATGCAAGCCACGTATTTCCACTCTGAAGGCAGCACAGAATATATAACATGACAAGATGCATTTACAAAACTTTCTGATTGTGGGAAGCAATTAGTTGCACCCTCAAAAGTTTCTTGTTTTTCATGCCGAAGTTTGAAAAAATGTGACGCAGTGTTTTGCAGATGTTCTGCTATCAGATGTGAACATAAAGAAAATCCAGTTTGGTTTTTGTGGAATCAGTTCTAAATAAGAATCAATTCCTATTTCCCAAATCCTCTGTATGCCATTCTTCATGGAAAACAAAAGGGAACTGAACTAATTTCATGTTCTTTGTTGAGGGTTTCGATGCAAAGTCAAGCTCATCTCATTGTCTTTCTAGCTGTGTCCTGTGGGCCCCCGGTGGCCCCTGTGAACGGAGGCATGCTGGCTGCTGATTATTCAGCAGGAACACGAGCCACCTACTTCTGCAACGACGGCTTTCGTCTGTCCTCTAAAGAGGTGACCAGCACCGTGTGTCAGGCTGACGGCACGTGGAGCAACCACAATAAAATCCCTCGCTGCACAGGTGAGACAGACGTCCTGGTTTCCAGTGATCAAAGCATTTAAGGGTTTTAATGGTTATGCTGATCATGTCTGGTAACAGTGAGTTATATTAAAGACCCTCATGAAATCAGAATAGGAGTTTTGTGGCTTGTAGTCCTTGTCTGTTAGCTTTGAGACTAATCTATATGCTAGTGCTATGAGAATGGCCTTATTAATACTAGTGGCAAGCAGTAGCACGTAGGTAATCAAATCATGACGAATAGTACGTCAGTAAGATTTTTTTTTTCTTTGAAAGAATGGATGTTGTTATTCTGCAAGGTTGTACAAAATTTATCAAAAGTTGAAAGTAAAGCAATTTGTTACGAAATTTATATTTTCGAAATTCAGTTTTTTTGAACTCATCATCAGAGAATCCCGAAAAAAGTTTCTACAAAAATATGGAGCAATACAACTTTGTTTTTCAACAATGATAATTATAAAAAAATGTTTTTGAGCACCATATAAGACTGGAGTAATGATGCTGAAAATTCAACTTCAACATCACAGGAATAAATTACATTTTCAAATATATTGAAATAGAAAACAGTTATTTTAAATTGTAAAAATATTTTATAACATTACTGTTTTTACTGTATTTTTAATCAAATAAATGATTTTCAACCCCAAACTTAAAGGGACAGTTTACCCAAAAATGAAAATTCTGTCATTATTTCTTTACCTTCGAGTTGCGCCAAACCTGTATGAATTTCTTTCAGCTTGTTAAACACACACACACAAAAAAAGATATTTTGAAGAACATTCATAACAAAACCTTCATACTAATGTTTTCCATACTATGGAAGTCAGTGGCTACCATCATCTTGTTGGGTTACCAATATTCTTCAAAATATCTTTTATATTCAGCAGATGAAAGAAACTCATACAGGTTTGGAACAAATGGAGGGTGAATAAATGATGACAGAATTTTCAAATATTTTCAAAAAAGGCTCAGAAAAGGGTGGCAAAGGGTTGCGTAATTGTAAATTGCGTTTGTTAAGTTCCATACAAATATTTTAATAACCATGCTACTGATTTCCTCTCAGTTGTGGTCTGTCCCAGTATCGGCTCCTTCACCCTGGATCACGGCAAATGGAGGATCGTCAATGGCTCTCGTTACGAATACGGCACTAAAGTAGCCTTTACTTGCAATGCCGGCTATTACCGGCTCGGCCCCGCCCACATTCACTGTACATCCAATGGGACGTGGAGCTGGAGGAATGAGCGACCTCGCTGCAAGAGTGAGTTATCCGCTTCATTTGTTACTCAAACATTAATGCTGTACATATCATGACACACAATTCCCAGGCCTTGTTAGTCTGGCCAGTTTTTAAGGTCAGTCTAAGCAGACTGCAAGGCTAATGATTTTGTCAATTGTGTCCTGAAGTGTGAAAGATTAGCAGCGTGTGCGGTGCTTTGCTACACTCATGGAATCCGGGGGCGTTTTCCGCAATTTTCTGCACAGATTTCTTTAAGTTTTAAGGATTTTTTTAAGTTTTAGTTGAGAATGTTGACTGCTCAGTTAGTTGCATGCATTTAGTTTACTGTTAGCTGTAACAGCTTGCCAGAAAATACTACTCATTTACATGGTTTATGAGGCGAGAGGATTGTGCAACCAGAAAACATTTCCCATAATTCTCAGTGGCTGCATGAACATTATAAAATGCATATAGCATCAAGTTTTCGTCCACAGATTTTTATTTTAGAATTGAATCAAATATGCGGAATGCAAATGTAAATAATCTGCCCTTTTTTAACAAAATGCACATAGACTTGTGTATAAATGTTGCATTCAGAGTTAAACTGCAAGTACTTTATTACATTTAGTGGTTTCCCCAGTGACTTTAGATTCCATTTCCAATATTATTTTTCATAAATTTTCCAGAATGTGATATTTTTGTTTTCTTAAACACTTAAACGTTGCTTTATCTAATTTTTATATTAAATTAAATATAATTAAATAGAAACAATTGCGCACATAACATGCATCCATGGCAATTTTTATTTATTTAGTTTTGCACTTGTGCTAAAAAGCTCTATGGATTTGCCAGGAAGTGACAAATAGAGAAAGAAATACGAACTTGTCCAGTACCTCCATTGTATTCTTTATGTCTTATGGAATCAAAAGTACTAATTTCCCAGGATGCTTTATATGGTGCCATCACAATACTGAAATGAATTTGGCCCTGTATATTCTCCACTATATAGGCTGTTTAAAGGAATAGTTCACCTAAAAATGAAAATTTGATGAAAATTTACTCACCCTCGGGCCATCCAAGATGTAGATCAGTTTGTATGTTTATCCAAACAGATTTGGAGAAATGTAGCGTTACATCACATGTTCACCAATGGATCCTCTGCAGAGAATGGGTGCCGTCAGAATGAGAGTCCAAACAGCTGATAAAAACACCACACTAATCCACACCACTCCAGTCCATTACATCACTTGCTCACCTCTGCATCCTCTTCACTGGAGGAAGCGTTTTTATGGACTATAGACTCATATTTTATCCATTTATTTTATTCATTTTTGGATAAGCTATTCCTTTAACATGCAATTAAAAAAACACACAGCTGAATGAGTCGAGAATCCTGAGTAAAGCCAGTTGTCTGTTACTATCGCAGTCTACCTTCGGCAGGTGCCATCCTCAGATGGTTGAGTTATCAATGCTGTGCGTCTGCTGTAACTACAGATGTAATGAATGTGTTTATGGCTCCCATATGAGAGCCACAATCTAAACATTAGAGGCGCTTTATGACTGATGGCGTCTGACAGGATCCTGCACCCTGGCGAGAAGACTGCAGCGTCAATTTTAAAAAACAACAACAATCAGAGTGAAGATGATGAGAAGTTGATAACAGATGAAATGATGATGCCGCTGTGGTTTTCCTGCATGAGTAAACGCTCCTGAACAGTGTATCACATATATAATACATCCCTGATCTCCTGTCAGCTCAAACGTTCAGCTCCTGATATTTTCAGCTGGTTATGGGTGGTTAAGAAAGCTACTTGGAAATTGTTGCTTCCCAAGACTCAAACTACTCAGTTTAAAACTGCACTTTTAAAGTAGTAGTGAGCTATTACTGGCTAATTACATTAAAACATTTTAGGGGCAGCATATTTTTCAATTTCTGTAAATTTTTGTTAGATTTTTATTAAAAAGTTATCAAATATAGAAGATTACTTCTACTTGTAGTTGGTTAACTACTCGTTGAAATTCTTCTTGAGATAGTTTCCTAATTTTGGTCTGCATTTCTTCATGTTGTCTAATCATTCAAGCTACACTTTTGAAGGAATAGTTATCTTTTACTAGTAGCTAGTTAGCTTTAATAGTTAGCTTTTACTAAAGCAGTTTAAGGAGCAGTATCTTTTTTTAATTTAACAATCAAACCTTCTGTTTTTGCAACATTTTTATCGTAAAAACGTCAAATATAGAAGCTTATTCCACGTTTAGTAAATTAGCTATTTGCTACTAAATTCCTCAAAAGCAGCTCTGAGTATTGAAGCCTTAAACCTGGTAAATGTTTTTAAGACTCCCTTCAGAAGTCAGTTCCAATTGATCCATTCTGAAATCAGTTCTTCTTGAGATATTGTCCTCATTTTGTTGTGCGTTTCATCCGTGGTGTGTTTTTAGAGGTGTAAATCACAGTCGTACATGTTGTTTAAACAGTTAAGCTACTCTTTTGAAGTAATAGTTAGTTTTTACTAGGGCTGTGCAATTAATCGCATGCGATTGTCATGTGCATCTAGTCAGTAAAGCTGGTCCCGTGATTGGTAGTAAATCGCCATCACCTGCTTTCAGATGGAGCGGCATTTAATACACAGAGCCGTAGTTCACTGACAAGCTAGGCAATATCGCATTCATAATCGAATGCGATTCATTTGTGATTATGAACGCGATATTGCCTAATTGTCAGTGAACTACGGCTCTATGTAGTGAATGCCGCTCAATCTGAAAGCAGGTGATAGAGATTTACTACCAATCACGGGTCCGGCTTTACTGACGAGATGCGCATGACAATCGCATGCAATTAATTGCACAGCCCTAGTTTTTACTAGCTAGTTAAAGCAGTTGAAGGGAAAGTATATTTTTTAAATGTAACAATCAGATTTATGTTTCTGTAACTTTTTTTATTGTAAAATATACATGATAAAACCAACGCTATCTCACGGCCAATTTGTACGTATTTTACGAGGTGGCTAATTTGTACGAATTTGTACGACCTCACTCGTACAATTTTGTACGATTTCTGTGACGGGTAAGTTTAGGGGCGGGGTTAGGTGTGGTTCTTCGTATGAATTCATACGAATTTGCCAACTCATAAAATGCATGCGATTTTTCAAAAATTCGTACGAATTAGCCACCTCGTAAAATATGTACGAACTGCTGTGAGATCGGGCTGGATAAAACATGATAAAATATAGTAGTTTATATAGTAGCTTGCTTCTACTTTTAGTTAGTTAGCTACTTGCTACTAAATTCCTCAAAATTTAACTTAGTTTTGAAGCTATAAACCTGGTAAACACGGTCAAGCTATTGAAGAATTAGTTTGCTTTTACTAGATAGTTAGTTGAAGAAGTTTATGGGAAAGTATCTTCTAAAATTTAACAGTCACATTTAATGTTTCTGTAACATTTTTATTTTTAAAAGTGATTAAAAATAGAATTGCTTTTTACTTTAGTCTAGTTAGTTAGGAAGCAGTTTAAGAGGCAATATCTTTTTTCAATTGAACAATCAGATCATTTTTAAAACTGAGATTTATACATTCAGAAATATTTATTCTATTTTAGATATTTTACTCATTTTGATCTGTATTTCTTCTGTTTTAGTTTTTTTTATCGGGGGTGTAAATCATAGTCGTACGTGTTGTCTTTAAGATTGTGTCGATTCATTTTTGTTCTCTATTGCCTTTTACTGCAGTCATTTCGTGTGGAGAGCTGCCCACTCCTCCTAATGGAAAGAAAATTGGAACGCAGACAACCTTCGGAGCAACCGCTATTTTTACCTGCAACTCGGGCTACATTCTAATGGGCTCGACTGTACGGGAATGTCTGGCATCGGGTCTCTGGAGCGGGATGGAGACGCGCTGTCTCGGTAACACCAGAAACCTTCTCTCTTTCAAAACATCACCACACATTACCATCCATGTAACCTTTTAATGGAGACGGGGTGCTGATAGGCCATATGAAGAGTTCTGTGACATTTTGTCAGGATTTCCATAACAACAGTGGTTTTAAATTTTTGCTTATGCTGTATGCAGCACCTGTATCATCACATGCAAATAAAAGCTCTAGTCTAAAGCCTAGTGAACTGCCTATGTAGGTACAAAAAGCGTCATTATTATCCCTTCTTAAATACAGTTTTTTGACCTTGAAGGAGAACGCAATCCCATAATACACTATGGTGGTTCTCAGTGGGAAAATATCCAGCTAAGATGATGAAAAAGTTGTCGTTTAATATTTATAAGTATCTTTTATTCAAAAAGTGTCATTAAATTTACATGCGTTTTATACTTTTGGCACATGCTTGTGTCCAAAGAGACTTACATTAAATTCAAGCTATACATCTTTTAAGTTCCTGTGTTCCCTGCACTGTAAAACAGCAGCTGTGGTTGCCAGAAATTCACTCTAAAAATGTGAAAATGTGTCAGGTGTTGCAGAATGGCAGTTTGGTGCTTGTACATTTTTACAGCTTAAAACCATACATTTTATTAAATTATATAATGTTAATACACCAATCTGAACTACCAAAATCTGTGTTTTAATTGACTATTTTGCGCTGTAATTTATACAGTAATTCATAGTTTTGCTTGCAAACACCATACATTTACACCATAAGTATTTTACAAGTTACATACAATGTGTACATATAAAAAAACAAATTTTCTCTAAAAACTGTATGGTATTTTTACAAGTCTTTTTCTTTAAAAATAAAAGCATTTTTTTACAGCTTTTTTTTTAACTAATTTCTAAGACCGCATCCTTGATGAAGACCTTGATAAATTATCAAAAATTATAATTTATAATTTATTACAAGTGTAATTTATTAAATACCAAAAACATACTACAACTTATATTCAGGCTATGCATATTCTCAGTTCATGCATTCCCTAGGAATCAAATCCGTAACCTTGACATTGCTAATGCAGTGCTCTGCTGTTGCTACAGGAAATATAGTCACATATAATTACATCTGATGAAATATGTACTATTTTACTCTGTGTGTGTGTGTGTGTGTGTGTGTGTGTGTGTGTGTGTGTGTGTGTGTGTATTTTTGTACTTATCAGAGTTTTTCAGGGTTACCTTAGCAACATGCTATTGTTGCTGCTGTTCAACAAATTCTACAAGCTCCTTTCAGTGTAGAATGTTCAATCACCTATGATGTTCCATTTCGGTCAGGATGCAACCTTAAAAGGCAGCTGGCTATGTAGACAGTATACTAGGAGGTCTTTGTGGAAGGTTTCTCTGTTGTGTTTGCACAGATTGCATGAGTGTCTTTGTGTAAGAGAATAATTTCTTGTCCGACCTGTGCAACAGAAAATGAAGTGAGAGAACGCTCTGGAGGGACAGAGGTGACGAAATGATTTCTGTAGTAGTTCAGCGGACTCAGTGCTCTGTGAAGTGTGCCAGCCTCTGCTGAGTTCTGTCATCAATCACATCTGAGAGAAAAAAACCTTGACAGCTCTCCATTTGCCCATCGGTCTTTGTCTCTCATCACATCTTCTCTGAGTAAGACAGTGTTGTGCATTACTTTGTCCACCAAAAGAGTCTTCAGATCCGTTGTGTTGATCCTCGGATGCATCGATATTGCAGTATCTGTTGTGGGGATTGAACACTCATTGTCTGTGGGTGGATTATGAATATCTCTATTCACCACACCACACACAATGTGATTTCCTCAAGTAGGACATCATCCTACAATAATGTCCCCATCAAATCACAGGCTGAACTAGACATGAGAATTTTCACAAGTATAAAGATTATGGTTGTGAATCAGATTCCACTTAACTCCAAATTCCTAATTATCCATAAGTAATTCTTTAGGGCAATTTTTATTTATTTAGGAATAAGGAATGAAGGTAGTTTTTATTGCATTTATTACCCTCAGCAAAAAAAAGTCAAGTAATGAATTAAGTAAATAGTCGGTGATAAAAACTGAGAAACAAAGCAATAAAACAAATGAAAAGAATAGACCAAAGATAGAAACTACAGTGCTTGAGGTATTTCAGGTATCCAACAGCAGTGTTAAATTTGTCAACATTTATAAATAGGAAGAAACAGACAAGCTATTTTAAAATTATAATAATAATAATTGTAGATAGATAGATAGATATGCATTTTTTGAAAAGGAGACTATACTCATCAATATATTTTATTAAAAATACAGTAAAATTGTGAAATATTATTATAATTTAAAATAACCATTCTGTATTTGAATGTATTGGAAAAATGTAATTTATGCCTGTGATCAAAGCTGAATTTTCAGCATAATCACTCCAGACTTCAGTGTCACATCATCCTTCAGAAATCAGTCTAATATGCTGATTTGCTGCTCAAATAACATTTCAGATTCTCATTATATTTGTTGTATATATTATATATATTCTCAATGTTTTTCCCCCAGCCGGCCACTGCGGCTCTCCGGAAAGGATTGTGAATGGTCAAGTGATCGGTGAAAACTTCGGCTACAGGGACACGGTAGTTTACCAGTGCAATCCGGGTTTCCGACTCATTGGTTCCTCTGTGCGCATCTGCCAACAGGATCACAACTGGTCCGGCCAGCTCCCATCCTGCGTGTGTGAGTTCTCTCCACAGTACATGAGTAATACGCGTCGGGGGAAGTTTGGTTTGCAGCCAAGAGGATTAGTTTGACATGTAATGCAGGCAAACCCCCTATTCAGCCCATGACAGGCATCACACACAAATCCTGACTTTACCAATGAAACATTTGATGAAGGAAAACACCAACACCACCTGATTTTGTGTGGGTGATTTGGATGTTTTCCTTGTTTTATTTGTGACTGCCGGAACGCAAAGCTGCTTAGATAAATGTTTTCATACAAGTTGCATTAAAATTTTTCTTGTCAAGCATTGGAGATTCATATTCTACAAATTGATTAAATTATGCCAGTAGACAAAAGTTAAGGACACAACTGACTGAATTCTCATCATAAAAACCTTTTAATCTAGAAAATGTTTGAAATTAGAACACACATTTTCATATGAATTTCTTCTAAAGCTACTATTTTCAAATGGTTTTTGGGGGGCTGTTCCTACATAATTAGCAGACTTCCATTTGTGAAATTTGATGAAGTGTTTCTAATGTCATGGCAAAAGAAAACATTAACCTGAATAGTGAATATGAATCTGCAGTATGAATTGAAAGTGAAGAGCATGTGATACTCTAATTTGCAATTAAATGAATTGTATGAGTCGGTTCTTTGTAGTGAATCAAAGACATACGGCACGTCCAATATGGTCCAATTCACCACTAAACGACTCTTTTGAGTGGTTCTTTTTAGTGAATCAAAAGTATGCAGTGTGAAAAGAACAGTCCGATTCACAAACAAATCACTCTTCTGAACGGTTCTTTTTAGTGAATCAAAGACGTAAAGCACGTCAGTATAGTCCAATTCACGATCGAATTACTTTTTTCAACATTTTTTTTTTTAGTAAATTAGAAAGATGAAAGACTTGCAGCACTTCAGTATAGTCCAATTCATAAACAAACGACTCTATAAGTGGTTCTTCTCAGTGAATCAAAAGCATGCAAGATAAACATTGCAGCCCAATTCACAAACCACTGAGTCTTATCAGCCAGCTCTTTTGAATGAATCAATTTAAAGGACACACAAATTCACTGTATGACCGGTTTACATCAGTATGACGAATCTCTGACAGAATAAGCTCACTGAATCATTGTATTGACTCGTTTACTGCTTTCAGTGATATCTTGAAATTAAGAAAGTTTTAAGTACTTCAGCTTCATGAAAGTAAATCAGTATGACTAATTGTTCATATGACGGCTGGATTTAAAGATAAACATTTGCATTTTTTATCGATTTTTATTTTAAACATAAATGCATTAAAATACACTAAAAATGAGGGTAACACTTTATTTCGATAGTCCACTTTAGACATTCTATTAACAGTTAGTAACTTTGCAACTACATGTCAACTAGCAGTTAGTAGAGTATTAGTAGACTGTCTGCTTAATATCTTCTAACACTTTCTTTGTCAACTTATTCTACTAACCCTAAACCTACCCTAACAGTCTACTCTGAAAGTTAGTAGACATGTAGTTGCAAATTAATGAGAATTAGTTGACAGGTAGTTGACATGTAGTTACAAAGTTACTTATAGTTAATAGAATGTCTAAAGTGGACTATCGAAATAAAGTGTAACCAAAATGAGTTATTGGAGCATGTAAGAAAATACTAATTCAGTTTAATTCAGTGTGATACTTGCAATTTCTTTTTAATTGTTTGTGAAATTTACCAGCTATTTTTGAGTGAAAATTGTAGTAATTCAGTGTAGTAATATTACAGAATAAGTTGGTGTATTCAGACTTTTGACTGGTAGGTAACAGTAATTTTCTCCTTTGCGGTGCAGCCGTTAGCTGCGGTCATCCGGGCAGCCCAATCTATGGCCGTACTGTTGGCGACGGCTTCAACCTGAATGATGTGGTGACCTTCTTCTGTAATAACGGCTACATTCTGGAAGGCCCGTCTCAAGCGCAGTGCCAGGCGGACCGTCAATGGAGCCAGCAGCTGCCCACATGCCGAGGTTTGGACCAAATGACTTCTTTTCTCATTATAGTGAAATTTAAGCACTGTGGCGCTGATGGAAATGACTTTCTGGCTGCCGCAGTTAAAAAAGGAATGACCAATTTCAACCCTCTGGCCCTCTTTTCAGCCAACAGTATCTCATTCAGACATGGTCTGAATAGCAACAGAGTAGCCCTGCAAATCAGTAAGATGTATGTTTTGAATCTAATCTCTGCTTTGTTAGCGGCGTGATTATGAGTGTCTCAGAGGATCGTCTGTAGTGCTTGATTCTGACAACAGACCGGATGAAGTGATCAGCAGTGATGTTGGCTTGATTACATGACTGGAATTTGGTTTTGTTTAATATTTATGAACACATAAGTGGTTTTATCTCACCATATGGTTGAAGAAGCTTAGTGTAACGCTGTATTTTTTACGTTATAGTTTTTTTATGCAGCTTCAGTGATATAGTAGTTGACTAACAGTGTCCACTGTCTTTTTTTTAGACATCTTTTAAAATTTGTATTTCATTTTAGGTTAGCATTACAATTACTATATAAAGTAAAGCCTAGATTTAACGTAACTGTTTAACCACCTTGCAGCATCCATCCGATTTTAAACACTGTAACATAATCATAAAAGTATTTTAAAAGTAGATTAATATTTTGATAGATTTTTGAATTTTTGAAACTCAAAAAGAAACAACTGAAATGTGAGTTGTTGTTCACTGAAAATCTTCCTCTCAAATCTCATTTGTGTAATAATTCATGTGGTGTGACTCCATAGACAGTTATGTGTCGTTTCTGTGGCAGCTCGTGACACCAAAGATACAAAAATGTCAATGTCTTGACTTGGTAGAGAATATATGGAAGCACAAAAAAAAAAAAAAAGTTTATTCAGGAAATGTTTATACTTCATGTCGGAAATTCTCCACAGACACTTAAAGAATGACATACAGTGTAATGGTTTCAAAAGTTTATACAGGTTTCAGACTCACAAGGTGTTTTTCAAGGTTCCTGCCAATTGCTAAAACCTCTTCAAACTCCTCCAGGTTATCTTTCATAGAGATCTATTCTGATAAATACACTGGGGCAAAAAAGTATTTAGTCAGCCACCAATTGTGCAAGTTCTCCCACTTAAAAAGATGAGAGAGGCCTGTAATTTTCATCAGCAGTGTAATGGTTTCAAAAGTTTATACAGGTTTCAGACTCACAAGGTGTTTTTCAAGGTTCCTGCCAATTGCTAAAACCTCTTCAAACGTGAAAAATCCTCCAGGTTATCTTTCATAGAGATCTATTCTGATATATACACTGGGGCAAAAAAGTATTTAGTCAGCCACCAATTGTGCAAGTTCTCCCACTTAAAAAGATGAGAAATATAATCATCTCCATCAATGTTTAGATTATAATTGTGTATTTTGTATTTTATTTCTGAAATGAAGAATTACTGAGACAATTGCAACACTCTCCATTATACAGTGACTCTCATTTTTTCTTTTTTGGCGTCTGTTTGCTTTCTTCAGTTGTCAACTGCACGGATCCCGGTATACCAGCCAACTCAATCAGGAAGAGCAAAATTGAGTACGGGAACTTCACTTTCGGAACCGTGGTGTCCTATGACTGCAATCCCGGCTATTACCTCTTTGGGTCATCGGTCCTAACCTGCCAGCCCGTGGGTTACTGGGACAAGCCATTACCAGAATGCCTGGGTACGTCTGTGTGGGTTCTCTCCCAACACTTTATTTCTCATTATTTTGACTCTTTATCATTGACAATCTTTGAACACTTTCCATCTGAGACGCCGAGGGAAAATGTCACAGGTTAGCCAACATGCAGTCGAGTGCAGCGTTCGGTTCAAAGAGCTCTTATGATGAAGTCTTCGCTGTCCATTTAAAAGCCTTCAAAGTTTTCCAGCACAGACACGATGAGTTTCTGCAGTGGACAGCAGTGAATTTAACGCACCTTTCCTTGGGTTTGGCAAAACGAGGAGTATTGAGGTCAAGAGCGAGTGAAGCGGAGGCTCGTGTTCATTTGCCTGTGAGAGATAGTAATTGCCTCCCGCTCTCGCTTTCCATCTCTGTCCCTGTAATTGCTTCAAACTTGAATTTGACTGTTTCTTGTCCGTTTCCACCACGCTACTTACAACGTGAAGGAAAGGCAGCAATCCTGCTAGCTAGCTATTAGTCTTGTTTTTCTCTCAAGTGTACACAAGGTAATTCTGCACTTTGCTTAGCCGACAGAGGCTGCTTGCTGCTCTTAAACTGGGAATTTTAATAAGCATCCTCTTTTCCCCCGTCAGCCTGATGAATATTATGAAAATTGTAACCTCCTCGGTTTTATTCAGGTGCATTTCCAATTCAAAAGAAAGCAAACGTCAAAAACAGGCCTGAAAAGAAGCTTAGCTAAATTGAAATGAAGAGCTTATGTGTGTTTCTTCAGCAGCTCACAAGAGCTGAATTAATGTCGCTGGGATGTGCGCAACTGCACACTACACAAATCAACTACTGCTGGCTTTTTCTCAGCAATTAGACAGAATGAAATAGTCAAATGCAATTTCACTCTGAAATTTTAATGGTCATTATTTACCAGATCCAAACCCATGTGCTCTTTTATATATAGCACAAGCTCCAGAAATGACCAAAAAACATTATAAAAGAATTAAAAGTGTAATCCATTTGACTAATGTGATTTATTTAGTTGTCTTGTTGGTGCAGACAGCTTATTGTTGAAGGCGGTCAAGTTATTCGAAAGCAGTGCTTTAGAGATGCGTTCTTTGTAATCTTGCAAATATTGCATTGTACGAGGTTTGTTTCCTCTTTGCTAAAATTCTCCCACGCAGCACTTGTTTTTCGTGACATCCTCTGAGAGGGTTACAGCCAGACCCACACAGAATCTGTGCCTGCAGACCTTCACAGAAGAGCTGCACATTTCAGCGGATTTGGAAACGCCAATCATTTACAAAGTCAAAATGAGTCAGCTTTCATTGTCATTCAGTCATGTTTTGTATATTTTTCAGGATTTCCACCAAAAATCAATGTTGAAAATATTCCACATATTCCACATCTGTCTGCTTTAACAACATGTAATGTAAACTTGAATTACTTGAATATAATGTTATATTAATAATCATTTTATGACGACAATAATTAAAGGGATAGTTCACCCAAAAATGAAAATGTCGTTCATTGTCATCACACGTATGCATCGTGGTACTCTTGTGAATGGTGAAAAGCTCTCGGATTTCATCAAAAATATCTTCATTTGTGTTCCAAAGATGAACAAAGGTCTTACGGGTTTGGAACGACATTGTGGGTGAGTAATTAATGAGTAATTAGCGACATTGAGGATGAGTAATTAATGACAGAATTTTCATTTTTGGGTGAACTATCCCTTTAAATCTACTGTAATCTAAGCATTGTTACCATGTTGTCTTAAATATTAAAGCTTAAAGAAATGCAAAAGAAAATATCTGGCTAAAGAAAGTAGTCTCCACTGACTGTTGGTTGATGGTGTTCTCCTGCAGAGGTGGACTGTGGTCACACTGGATCTCCTCCTCATGCGGTTGTGATGGGGGATAAATTCAGCTTCGGTTCTACAGTTCACTACAGGTGTTTAGAAGACCGAGTTTTGATTGGTGAATCCACCCGCACCTGCCAGCTGAACGGCCAATGGAGCGGCTCTCAGCCTCACTGCTCAGGTGAGTGTACTGAAACTTATAGTCATGCTACTAAACTATAATACTTGGCAGAATTATTCTATCTATCCATCCATATTATTTATTTTTATTTCATAATAAATAAATAGATTATATTATTATTATGTATTTAATATTGTTATTCTAAATATAATATTAAGAATAATTAATATTATTGTTTTAGTTTTTATAGTTTTAATAATAATACATTTAATTATTAATATTAAAATAGATAAATAGATTACTTTGTAATAAATACAAAGTTGTTTTTAATTTGATATTTTATTATAAATATAATTATTTTATATTATTAATATAATTTTTAGTTTGTATTGATGTTGTTTTCATTATTATTATTATTATTATTATTATTATTATTAATACTATATCATAATAAATAAATACATATATCATTATTTTGTATTTAATATTTAATTCTTATAAATATAATAGTTTCTTATTAATAATACTATTATTGTTGTTGTTTTTGTTTGTATTGTTGTTAATAATAGTAATAATAATAATTTAATATTATTATTAATAATTATTTTGTTTTTGTTTGTGTTGTTGATTTAATCATTATTATTATTATTATTATTATTATGCCACAGTTTATGGTTTAATTGGTGTGTTTTTTTTATCACATTGCTCGTTTTACAACTATTTCATGTAAGGAATAATTGGCTCCCGACTCTGGATTATTGAATGCAGCTGTTTATTTTTTTTAATAATTCTAATGTCCACTGTCAATTATTCTGCTCATACCAGGGTACCATATTTTTAGTTTTTGTTCTTCAACACTTCTTGAAATAGCTGAAGCCATTGTTGCTACTTTGAAAGAGTCACTCAGACTTCCATTACTAACTCCAGCGTGTCATTTAGCACTAGTAATGGAGGTTTGAGCTGTTTCTTTGCAGTAGAGAGAGCGAGTGTGTGTGTTTGTGATTACTGCGGCTCTCAGCAGTGTTGTGTTGTAACTTCTCTACAAAAAGCAGCATTATTATGTTAACTACATTTCTCAGTGGCACACACTGGTAACGTTGCTATTTTTGAAGATTTTATTGATTAAGTAGCAAGGCAGCACTGACAACAAGGCTCTGTGTTTGTGGAAGAACGATAGAGAGACTGTGCTTTCTGTAGATATAAAAAGTAATTTCAAAAATAATTTTAAATTGTCATTTTATCCTGTTATTTATCATATTTACTAGCTTGGCCAATGATGTTTGTTTTTCTTGTTCTTTTGCTCCATGTTTGTAGGCTGTGAAGCACTTTGAAATAACTAAAATGAATATAAAGAAGCAATAAACCATGAAAGGCAGTGCGTTACGGTAATTTTAGCACAGTTAAATAGGTTTTATATGCTCTGCTTCACGTTGTGCTTAAAAACACCCCAAAAAAGACTCTAAAGGTCTGTTCATGGAATAAAAAAAATGATCTTACATCATAATTCAGCTTTCTCTGTTTCATAAAAGCTTCTCCCTTCCTCATGGTAAAATCACAGTAATGCATGGCCCCTCGTGGCTTTTATTCAGATAATGCATAAGTCTTTGTATCTGCTTGTTCAGGCCTCAACTCGTGTTTGAAAGAGAAATCATACATTTGAATGAGCACATTGTTGAGTGAAGTAACACTCAACAATGTCTTGGTTCTTATTTCCTGTCATTATGTGTCAGTCTAACATGAGTTAATTAAGTTCAGCTGAATAATGACTTCTGTCTCTGCGTGACACACTACACCGTCTCTTCTTACTGACAAGCTGTCTGTTTGATTCCAGCTAACATGCACAGATTTTTCTTCTTTAAAGAAATAGTTCCCGCACAAATGAAACACTCATTATTACTTACACTGATATCGTGCCAAATATGAGACTTGTTCTACAGTTCACATTCATATCTTGAAAAATATCAAAAATACACCGTTGAAGCCCCATAAAAGCAGTCCAGACAACTATATTTCAAGTCTTCCGAGGTCATATATTGCATCTTCACCTGAAAAGATTAAATATGCACATGGGAGATTCAAGCACTGAAGAGGGAAAATTATCAGTGAATAACAATTTACATTTTAGTCTGTTCCTCAAACAAAGCTGTGGTATAACTTCAGAAGTGAATAAAGTGAATGCATCAAAAGTACAACTTTTATTGGGCTTTTTTAATCTCTTTTGAAGCTTAAATTATACTAAATATATATTAAATTGATCAAAGGTGACAGAAAAGACATTTATAATGTTACAAAAGATTTCCATTTCAAATAAATGCTGTTCTTTTGAACTTTCATCAAAGAATACTTAAAAAGGTTTCCACAATAATAATAATAAATGTTTCTTGAGCAGCAAATCAGCATATTAGAATGATTTCTGAAGGAACATGTGACACAGAAGACTAGAGTAATGATGCTGAAAATTCAGCTTTGATCACAGGGATATTTTAAAATATATTAAAATACAAACTATTTTAAATTGTAATAATATTTCACAGCAGTTCTATTTTTATTGTATTTTTAATTAAATAAATGCAGCTTCAGTGTGTATAAAATACTTATTTTAGACATATTAAAAATACAAATCATTGTATGTACATGCAATGAGCCAAAATTATGCATTTACACTCTTAAAAAGCTTCTAAGAATCACACACTCGTCTCTGTGCACATCTGTATGCAGCGCTGCATGCACTGACCCAAAAACAGCATGAGTTTCCTCTTTTACTTTCATTCCTTCTGTTCTTATCTCAATCCATCCCCCACTGACACACAGTCTTTTTGACTGTACAGAATGGAGTACTAGTACACTTCTGAATACTGCACTCTATACTCTATACTGCCTTTCTCATACTGCTTTTTTTGTAAATATTATGTGAAACTGAATGTATCGTTTACTACGTTCTGTTTAACATTGTATGTCGTCATCAAATTACCCCATGTTGTATCATAGTGCATATAAATAGTTTAGAATTTGCATTATAATTTATGATTAATCTAAACAGCATGAGTTTCCTCTTTTACTTTCATTCCTTCTGTTCTTATCTCAATCCATCCCCCACTGACACAGTCTTTTTGACTGTACAGAATGGAGTACTAGTACACTTCTGAATACTGCACTCTATACTCTATACTGCCTTTCTCATACTGCTTTTTTTGTAAATATTATGTGAAACTGAATGTATCGTTTACTACGTTCTGTTTAACATTGTATGTCGTCATCAAATTACCCCATGTTGTATCATAGTGCATATAAATAGTTTAGAATTTGCATTATAATTTATGATTAATCTAAACTATGCTAATTGCAGTCATTTTAATCATACTGTACAGCAAGTTACGTTTTTTTTCTACTAAGGAATTTCAGGAGGAACATCAGAGACGAAGCTGATACCTAAATGAAACATATCTCAAATCCTCCTGAGCTTTGAAAGAGCAACCTCTGAGAAATAACACTTTCCTCAGGGCTCTCTGTGTCTTTCTAGCATTACTTCTATATTCTGTGTGAGTATGCTCGACACTTCTCGGGAGGTTTGATGTTGAGACTGTGTTCTGGATTTCTGGGACATTCGTCAAGAATCTAGCATCTCGATTGCTGGAAATTTTAGGAGGCGTACGCCACTGTAGGTTTATTAAAGTTAGTCAGTTGCATCTTGGCTTCATTTGAAAGCATTTTCAGCTGCATATTTTTGTTTAAGATTAGAAAACTCCTGCAGTGTCCCCTGCAGCGCCTGCTTTCATAAGAGTTCCCTTTCAGTCGGTCACTCCCGACGTCACGTCGGATGACCGACGAAATTGGGATCTCGCTTAGAGGGACCAATCTACTTCGAGTGTAAACTAAATGAGCCAATGCACATTGGCATGCGATTATTGCATCCAGCTGCTGCTGATCACAGCGTAAGTATAAGTAGGCAGCAGATGCAGCGCATATTCAGCTTTTCGCTTCGGAGCCGAGTGATCACATCGTTCTGCTCCTGACTACTCTGAGAGAAGAAGACTGAACGAGTTCAGCGCGCTCTTGGAGAGCTCTTCGTGTTGGCGGTACGGCGCTTCAGCGGTGGTGGTTTCCCGTGTCGAGTGGGTTGCACACATCAGGCTGCACTACCCCCTGTTTGTGTTGCAGATGATCATCTCCCCTGTGCACCTCAGCACGCTAAAAGAGCTTTTTCCCCTAAAAGAGCAAATTCGGGTGCGTCTTTCTAAAGACGACGTTGCTTAGCAAACTTGACGTTACGTCTTTATAAAGACGATGTGGGTCTTGCTATAGACAATGTTGGTTCTCGGGGTGGTCCGCGCTGGTTCTCAGCGCCCCGCCTTGGTGCCTTTTTTCCCGGAGGTGCATGAGGAGCTCAACAGGCCGTGGATGGCACCGTTTTACTGCCGGAAACTGATTTGCTGGATCCTCCTCCCTCACCACCCTCGATGGTGGGGCAGCTAGGGGGTTACAAGGGTCCCCCCGGTGGAGCGGTCGAACTCCGAACTATATATCATACCTCCGAACCGCGGCGGACCTCGCGCCACGAGTGACGAAGGTTACGGCGTGGTCTCTGGGTCGTGCGATGTCTACTATGGTGGTCCGGGAGCGGTGGAGACACGGTGGAGAACTTGCCCAGCGGTTCTCCACCGTGGTCCCTCCAGAGGTGGAGGGACGTGCTCTTCAGGAGATGGTGAGCACACCACTCCCTCCCCCGGAGGAGGGCCGGGCGGAGAATCTTTTCATCTTTTTCCACCAAATAGGGGGTACCCAAATTCTCGACAAAGAGCAATTCCTCTATTTCTGGGTCCCCAGAGGGGACGGGGGGTTGTGGATGATCTAGTGCGTATGACACTCACCCTCCTCTCTTGCCAGTAAGCAGCAGTGGGTGGATCGGGAGGACGAACCAACGGACTACCCATGCACCCTCTGCTCGAACGCAGGTCAGTGTTACACACACCAGACCCCGCCTCGGACCGGCTACGAGACACCTGGGCCGGGTCCCTGCGTTTTTTCTCGCTGTCCCACTGCGGGTACGCCTGTAGTTCCAT